TACTGAACAAGATTTTGCATTTGAAGAAATTTGATTTTAGAAAGATCGACCAAAATTCGAGTTCTACAAAATCCTCTTCAAAATTACATTCGAAGATTATGAAGAAATCTTCGTACATTGTGATTAGCAACTAAGACATCCATCAGATTTAAAAGGCCATAATGAAAACAGACCCGAATAATATCACGAACAAAAGCTCGCTTAAAGTTTTGTTGAAATGCTGGACCAATTTTGTTATCATTGCTCAGCTTATCTGTCGGACCCGTGCTCGCATTAAAAAACACCATGTCAGCTAATGTCCCACGGAAACAATGATTCCAAATTGTATAGAATTCGGTTCGTTTGTCAAAGCATATCCCAATGAACTGATTGATATTATCGTGTACCAGCTGTTTCATCTACAACAAACATATATTTGCAAATTATTTCAGCAATTAATCATGGGAATTACTGTTTTTTTTTCGTTAATGCTATTTTATTTCAAAACTAACAACGTTACTAGCAAAATTAGATTTATATAAACATGGATTTGTTCTGGATCACAAACTAACTTCCAAGTTACGATATATGCAAGTTATTAACTTGCATATATCGAACATATTACTCTATCAATCTCTCATTTACATTACCTGATGAAGAAGTGCAACATCCGAACTATCGAAAAATAATCCTGCTTTGAGTGCATATGGTTCCACAATCACTGCCCCAAATTCGGTCATTGCAAACTCTCGCGAGCACAATAAATCTTTCAATTTCATCTTTGACTCTTGCTGCTGTGCACTTTGCATGGACATTATCTGTAAATTATGAACCAAATTTTATTGGAGTTCAGCTATTTGCCAAAAAAAATTTTATTATGATTCTTTTTTATTTAAGCATTAATTTAACACCTTGTTTTTTTCTTCAGTTTAAAATGAATTGACAGATCAAACAGGAAAAAAGCTGCTACTCGATAACAACAATATTTACCGAAGATGTTTCGATGTTAACAAACTTGAGGAGCTGATGAGGAATTGCCCACGGCATCTTTGACGTCTCACCACTTTTTCTGCGAATACATTCAGATATATTTCAAATATTTAACTTAATATATTCTCAAATAATTGCAATTGTACTTAGTAGACATTAAAAAGATAAAAAATCGGTTAAAAAAATGAGAAGTTGAAATTTTAAAATGAGAAACTAAAAAACCAGCTAAACTTACGATTTCCGATAAGCAAAAAAAGCACATAACAGCAAAATGAATGCCACTATGATCAGGAAGATTTTCACTACGCCCCTGAAACATGATCATATAAAATGAGTATTATGCCGCTTGTTAATCTCTTTTATCAAGCTGTTTCACAATTAGCACTTTCTTCGTCTAATCGTTATCATTGCCTTTCAGTTAATCAGAGTATTTGAATCAGCATTACCCCATATAGTCGCACAATTCTCCTTCGAAACCGCATAGAGGCACATCCACTGGAAAATGCCTTGTTATTGTTGTATTATAATCGGTTATTTTACCAATCTGAAAGTTTTCCAAAACGGAATTGAAGTAAAATGGGATCTAAATACTTCTAACTATTAGAAGTCTGTTGACTTCAGCTCCACAAAAATGCGCCAATAATAGAGTATCCATTTACCTCATTTATCTGGTATTAGTTATTTTGTTTCATCTTACTGAGAAGCATCAATGCAATGAACTGTCATTTCATACCCAGTAATTATTAATCCCCTGTCGCAAGTGTGGGAAGTAGTCTTTTCCGCCTGCAACGACGACTGGGGCTATTAGCAAGAGAGCTACCAGTGGAAGTTTAAAAATTTCGAACTCGTAAATCATTAAAAAGTGCAAATTGCATTGCAAAAAAAAAAAATGCAAAAAAAGCTTATTTCTTTCCATTTCTGAAGATAAAAAGATCAAAATTTTGAAATTGAGATTTCTAAAATAACTGTTGAGGTTTTATGAAACACAATTCACCAAAGTAATGCAACGTCCATTAGCTCCTTTTTTTCTGGCCAGGTCCGAGTCACATTCTTTGGTCAGAAACAACTCCGCAATGCTAACTGGTTCTTCTTGAAAAACTTCAACATATTTAGCTTGAAACGGAGTCAACCGAACTGCATATTGGTTTAACCATATTGGGCCAAATGGTCCTGCAACATTCATTTCCAACTTCTCGAAGACAACCTTACCAGAGACTTAAGTTTTAGTTTTGTATGTTTTTGAAGAAATCGAAGGGAAACTCATGTGGAAGACATGATATCATCATATTATATTTCATAAAAAATAAGAAGGAACTATTTATATTCAAATTAAAACTATAACGAACCCGTGAAATGGTTGCTTTTAAACATGTCAATCAGTGATTCGAGTAGTTTAGAGTCACTGAAATTTCGTGATGTTTGAAAAGCATTTCGAAGAAGTGTGGAAAGTAACCATGCTGATTCATAGAGCTGAGTGTACAGTATAATCGTTAGCTGAAGTACGAGATTTTCAAATATGATAAGAAAAGATCAGTAGGTTAGCTTACTGTTATATTATTGCAATGGAGGATTTCAAGGAAAAAAATGATACTAATAAAAGCCTTGTTATTATCTGAGAAACTTTGTAAGGTTTGGCAGAAGTGAAAACCAAAATTTTCCGTTCTTACAACCATTTAGCCACCTCTAAACTTCATTCCTCGTTCGTCGAGAATAATTATAATTTCGCAAATTATTCAAAAGTTAGAATATTTTCAAAAAGAAGTTTACATCATTGCTGCCTGCTGGAATATTGCGCTTTATGATTGATAAATTGTGTGATGAATAATAATTATTGATAAGCTGAAGCAAATAATATAGCAAATAAAATAGATTAAGCAAGCTTCTTTGCAGGAAACCAAAAAGTTTATTTAGTACCTCCTCAACCAATCTAAAGGGACAGTATAATTCATTTTAAATTTATACAGCCGTACAAACTTTAAATGTCGAATTCTAGTTCTGTCACACAAGTTCAAATACAATAAAATTAGGAAACACTTAAATAAATCATTTAAGAAACTTGCAATGATAGTTCCATCGAAGTAGAATTTCATAGTTTCATTTATACCGTTATTGGGAAGTATCCATGGTGGCTTAAACTCTCCAAGTACGAAAAAATCCAAGAGCACAATAACATAAACGGTTGGGTCAAGGCTAAGTTGTTTTACAGCTTCCAAAAATTCTATATAATCATGAAGATAATATCCAAATATCGGAATCCAAACTGAAATATTTGAAAGTTTAAAAATCCCAAGAAACATTTAAAAGAATGCTTATCTGTTTTGATAACAGAAAGTACTCATGCAAGCTATTCTATTTACTACCGTGTGCTGCCTGCATAACGAAACTATGAAAAAATGTAGAATTTGAAATATACTTCTGGAAGTGTTCTTAATTCCCATTAACACATCCACCAGTGGTCGAGTTACATCGGTTGTATTTACTCGAATATCGCTTAGTAGAGAAATACCGTTTAATTTGAATATCGTCCGGATATTTGCAATTTTAAGTTTGGTGGTATTTTCGTCGTCAAATGCTATCACTGACCAAATTAATACTACCTGTCGTTTAACAGATATAATGAAGAACGATAGAAAGAAGTATTCAAATGGACAAAGGACACAAAATGTTAACAGAAGAGAAGCAGAAAATAATTTACAAACTGTTGAAAAAGTGGAGAGTGCATCATAGATGATACTGAAGAGCAACAGGTGAAAAGGATCGAAATCGTCTTACCTTATCCCAACTCATTATTTTAAAGAACGCAACCAAATTGAATGCGGCATTCAGTGAGGAAATAGTTGATGTCTGTAAGATACATTATTTTTAAGTTTTAAAAGGCTGAAAAGAAACCTATAGAAAACAACGTAGTAGCGTACGAGAAATACACGTTTCCAAGAAACTGTATCATAAAACTGGCTTTTCACGTGATTCACGCAAAGCTCACTCAATGAATAAAGTTGCAGAAATGCATGTGGAGCAAGTTTTATTCACTTGAGTTCTCACGGTATGGTACTGTAGTAAGTTGTTAGCAAAAAGGTAAACCTGCACAACGGAACTGCGGTCATTGTCAAAATACTCATTGCGAAAATTGAACTGTAAAATGTTCCATTCTTTCGTTAACCTCCCAACAATATTCAAGTCTAAAAAGAAATTTAATGTCTGGTTGGACCCTGTAGATTTTACTTTTCAATGACCAAACCACTCTGCAAACTTTTACAAAAGAATAACAGACATGAATATCATTAAAATGATGAAGCCAGGTGGGAACAATTTTAAAATCAATTTAGAAAAAAACTTAGTTGTTCAAATTCACTACTATATAAGCGGTAAATCCTTAACAAATAGTAAAGAATAAAGATGATAGAGCGATTATGTGTATAAATCTTTGAGACATAGAAATCTTTGAAAGATGAAGTTTATGAATTATTAAATTATAAAATTCAATGATATAAAACTAAATTTGAGTCACCACTGTCACAGGCTGGTCCAAAAAGCATTTGAAGACCATTTTCGTAATACATTTCCGCGATAATGGCTGCATCATTGCTTTTATACTTGCTTTTGAAACAACCCATCGATGGTACTGGTAACAACCTGAAAAGCTATTTTGGAAATATTTCAGCAAAACTTGAATATTTGATCGATGTGAATGATATCAATAATACTAGAAAACTGTCCAGCACGATTTTTAAGAGATGACTTTTTGTTTTGCTTTTGAATGTTATTGTAACCATCAGTTGAACCGGAATTCCACGAGCGAAAATGAATAGTTATGATGTGGGGAACTTATTCTTGTGCTTCATTACGCAAATGTAGTAAAAGACTTTTCAGCTTCTTTCTGCTCACAGTTTCCTTTTCATTATTTGTGAATTTAACCATCGTCGAAGAGCAAATGAGAACGTTTTGAGCATCGTAAAATCCATTGAAATATCTGAACGGTGTGACCTATTAAATATTTAGCTTCATTTTGTTAATGAGAGATCAGCAAATCTCACCTAAACTGATACTCCTGGGAAGGTTGTGCACCAGATACATCATGTAGACCGGCTTGCAAAAAGTCGGGTGCCTTTGGAATTGTTGTATTTGCATAAATTAGGCCAATATTGATTACCGGTGAGGCATTAATTAGAGACACCAAAATACATAGCGTTTGCAAACAATCAAATAGTAAACTACAAAGTATTTGTTGGAAGACGTGGAGCCGAGATTCCGTAAGATTGTTTCCGGCCGTTATGCTGAAATACAGCCTTAGTTTTAAAATTTATCATCCGAGATTTCGTCTGTTTCAGTTAAAAAGGATTCACAAAACGATTTAACATGGCTAAACTGTAGGAAGTAATGATGTTTCGGAAAACAACAATGCATATTTTGACTGAATCAGTCTAACATGAAACGAACTAGCTTGTGGAAGAAATATTATAGTAAGAACAGGTAGCCGTTAACAACCGAGAGCGGCATGCGCGACAAATCTTTGTGATTATTCATTTGGCTGAAATGAGCTGATTCTGGTTGCCATAGCATCCTCATTTTGGAGCATCCTTTTAATGTCCATTACTCAGTTCACAGCCACACTCATAAGACACGTCGTTCGGATACGTACTACTCATCAGTCGAGACCACAAGCGGCAAATTCACGGGTTTTGATTTTTGATTCTTATAGGCTCAAAGCAGAAAGTGCTAAGAAATGAACTATAAAATAAATCATCAGGCTACTATATATAAAGGATGATACATACTGATAGCATGAACGATTCCGTATCTCAGCGTGAGGAAGGAGAGCGGGAAGATCCAGAAATTAATTTTTATGAAATTGGATGAATTTTTTATGAAATTGGACGTGTTACATTGGATGGATTCGCGAAACTCTGGTAGCACGGTCCTATCTTCATTACGTTATGAGAAGCGTCTTTTTTCACCATAAAACACCTGTTTCATTAAAATACAGCATTGATAGCTTCTTCCCGTATCAATTAATATGAAATAAAGACGGGACCCCAGTCCAATAAAGTAATAACTCCCCATAAGCAGAACAATGGTCAAGAAACCTGGTTTGCTATGTAGTGATAAAGGATAAATAAAGCATAATGGAATACCGCTCTAAAGTTCTAAAGGAAGTTGAGAAGGCACTGTCAAGTGTTGATATTGATCGCAAGATAACAAATTTAAGTTACTGATAACAAATTTATTGAAGTTGAAAAAGGAGAAAAGCAATATAACAACAAATTTACGTACAATATTTTGAAATGATATGACATATAAGCGGTAATAAATGTAAAGCAATGAATGGTAAATGGGAGGCATCTGCCGGTCAGTATTTGAAAAATTCATTAAAACAGGACCAAGCTAGCAGCAAATACACTAAACAGAAGTAACAATGGAAAACAGATTAACACATAATAAAAGAAGTAACAATGAAATGATTTACAAAAAAAAAATTAGGGAAAATGGCATCCGATTTTTTCTAAGTTTCACGTACATTCTAAGGACCTGACAACGTAAAAAGATAAAACAGCGAAATATTTCACCTCACAAAACGCGCTAGTTATGAAGCCAACAAATCTGTCTGAAAAGCATTAATGTATACTTAATGTTGTTTCATTAACAAGCAAGCATTAGAGAGCAGAACAGTTCTAACAATGAAAAAGAGACAAAAATTTGGAAAATATTATAAGAAAATTGAAATATGGAAATGAACAGGTTGAGCAATGAACTACGAATCATTGCAGAAAATATGACAATGTTGCAATAAAAGAGACACTGTAAAAGTCAACCTTAAGTAATATCAGCCTAAACGCATCTCACATTTTTGTGTCGACTAAATGGTTAAACGAAACATAATAACATAAAAAATATTTAGGTCCATATTGCGGTGCATGGTAATGTACCGCAAAACGAATGGATATGCAAAAAAAAAAAGTTAAAATTACAAATTAAAGTACCTTAGAATTTCGGATTATAAATTAGAAATATTAATTGGAAATACCAGTAAATATCGAAATGGTGTTTGAAATGCCTGGAACGTGATGTACTCCTCGATAAGCCCTGCGTTAACTAAATAGAATTTCATGTAAGCAAACGAAAATCAGCTTAAGTTGAAGCGGCAATACTCTTTTTCGCGGCAATGATCAAATGATACAAGGTGGCAAGTGGTTTGGCACATTTCAAGAAATGATGAGTGAGCAACTGGTTGGCCGAGTAACGCTCATCCACCGACACTTCCAGGGCACAATCGATGAAATCACGGAATGAAGGTGAGAGTGTTTCACGCGATGGAAAATCTGGTTTTCCGTTCGTCGCTATCAGATAGATGGCCTGTATTTATTAATTGTTGAGTTGTATGTTGTAAAGAGTAAAATTACAGTAAGAGCTCTTACAATTCTAATTAAACATTCAAGTAGATAAGAAAGCTAAACCATCAGTACCCGTTAAGCAGAAAATCATTTTTGAAAGCCGAAAATGAAGAAATTTTTACCCTTAATGGGTTTTCGTTCAGATATGGTGGTTCGCCCTCTACCATTTCGATTGCCATTATGCCCAGTGACCAAACATCAACTTTGGGCCCGTACTGTTTTCTAGTCACTACCTCTGGAGCCATCCAGTAAGGAGTGCCAACCATAGTTGTACGTTTGCTTTGTTCTGGACTTATCTGTGCGCAGAATCCAAAATCAGCTGTAATAAAGGAATATTTAAGGAAAACGAACAAACTTAAATTCCAATTCTTACATTAAAAAAACAAACGGATAACTGGACATACTCAGCTTTACGGAGCCATCCATCCCAAGAAGGATATTGTCTGATTTGATATCACGGTGAATCACATGTCGATTGTGAAGGAATTCCAGTGCTTGTAGTACCTGCAGTATAATTAAAGGGCTATTGCAAGACAGTTTCACAAATAGTTTCGCACTGAACTCTTATTCTTTTCAAATTGCGCTATTCATTAACCAACTCAATGGAGAATCAACCAGTTGAGAGATGGAGATATCACCACTAGAAGACCTACCAAACAGATCACTCACAAAAACTAAAGATTACGGGGAATGGGAAGCATTAATCCATTAGCTGAAGTACAATATTGGAAACGCTCACTTCTCTGCACACAGCGGCAATCATTCCTTCTTCCATTTGACATTCTGTTACCACATCCGTCAATGAACCACCTGCCAGATATTCCATTACCACCTGAAAAGACATATCATACTTCATACACACAAGAACAATACTTAGTTTCCTCAAACGTCATCTTAGGCTACAAGCTTTCAAGCTACATCCATGCAAATGCGGCCTCTCAAAATGAGGGCTTCTGAGAACTTTGTGGATGGAAGACGGCTTTTATAGCCAAAAAATTTCAAGCATGCAGTACACTTACTATGTTTTTTTAACACCCCGGAAGATATGTATTTTGCAAAGCAGTTATTGCTCTAATTAACAATATATAGATAATGACGTTCTTTTCAAACTGTAGAACAAGCCATTTCTAGTAACAGTGCTACGATGCACAAGTTACAGAACTGCAACGTGCTTGTCTCGATAATTTCCCTTGTCGTTGCACAACTGCACATCTTTGGTTACACGATGACAGTCCGGCTTATTTGGCAAGGAAATGCAATTTTAGAAATGCTCCATGGTATAGAACTCAGGAGTCTTTCCAACTCACTCATCTTCAATCCACTTGACCAAATGAATTATACAGCTTATATTAATTGAATATGAGAACATAGAAAATGTGTATATATATATGATATATATGAGAAAAATATATATGATATATATGAAAAAAAAGGAAAATATGAGAACATAGAAAATATGAGAACATAGAAAAAGAAAAAAAAGAAAAGATGAGTGAAGAGTAAGGAAAGACATTAGCTGACTTCTCGAAGACTATCAAGTTGACACGTAGAAAGTTTATTATTGAACATAATGCAAAAATTTCTATGTCTTAAAATTAATCTTCATCGATATGAATGAAATCGCTCATGTCAAACTTATTTTTATCCGGTAGCAACATTTATCTCCAGCATGATCTTCTTTTCAGAAAATATTAAAACAAATCTCTTTCGAAAAACCCATTCTGTTTTTATCAGATCTTAATTTAAAAGTTCACGTTCGCTCCGCTTTTCTACCACTAATCAAATAACACCAACTCTTCTGGGTAGTAAATCTGATGTTTTCAGGAATTCCAAGATTGAAAAGGAACATTAAAATGTTAAGGGTTTGAACGATTTATAATGGAAATAACACATGGAAAAAAAATACCCAAAGATCGTCACCGACGAGATAAGAGTCAAGATAATTAACGATATTAGCATGCTTGTTCTCACGCATCACCAGTATCTCGTTGATAATAAGCTCCTTCTTAGGCTGCTGTGCCAAATTCATTTGCTTTATTGCAACCTCCGCACCTGTACTGATTTCGATTGCTGTGAACACTGATCCCGATGCCCTACAATGAAGCGTTAATTAAACTCACTTTAATTAATTATATATAAATGTGACCAATACTTCCCCCTATTCAGGAAAGCCTTGAAAAAAATTGACTTTAGAACCAGTCCAATAAATCATCAAAGAAGATTCACAGATCAAATGTACTAACAAACAAAATACGATTCGACTAAGTTAAAATGTACCCATTCTCCAATGAGAGATGGAACTTATTTTACGATAAACGACGTCAATTAAAGGAACTGAACCAAATTTTCAGTTTCAAGACGTGTTCACTTTTTTACCATCTGAAAACCTTTTTTTATCGTGTTTCAGCATATAATGATCACTCTACCGTTGCTTTTCAAAAAAAGTAAGCATAGAAATAGTGCTGGCAAACAATGAAAACCTATTACCCAGAACCAATTTTATCCACTTTTTGATATTTCCGATCTGGATTTCCAATAGTAACAATTGTCCGTAATTTGGCTAACACCTCGGTATCAGATATTTTTTTTCGACGCCCCGTTGATCGATTAGTGAGACCAAAATGACCGCCGGTTATTAAAGCATTGTTCATACATAATTCTATCTTCTCTTCATCCATTTTTGGTTTCGTATACTAAAATAGATTCACTTTAAATAAACAGCATAAGTAATCTATAAGTCACCTATTATGTAAAGTAATGAATTACTTTACATTTTTCATTACTTTACATAATAGTCACCTATTATGTAAAGTAATGAAAAAATCACCTATTATGTAAAGTAAAAAATAATGAAACACACAAGTAAATTTATAAGAGATGCAATTTCAATTTTCAAGCTATCCTTCTGAATGAAAAACTGATCTGAAACGTGGTGAAACAGCAAAGCAGTAATGCAATAAATCCAAAAAAGATTCAAGAATCCAATGTTTGCCGCAAGCACTATTAGCTTACAGCAAGCACTGTTTAGGATCTTCTTCACTGCAACTTCAGAGATGATTGCACCGCTTCCTCCGTATGTTTTTTGTAATTGCAAACTTCACAAACTCTAACCACGAATTTCATAAAATAATTACAAACTTTATAAACTAATTAACGAACTAAATGAACTTACAATAG